CCCAAGCAAGCATTACACATGAAACTTCACTGGGCTAAAGTTATATAGGTGTTTTGACCTTAAATTCTCTATTGTACCCTGACTTTCAAATTAACTAATTTCCCAGAAATTCTTCTTCACTAATAATATGAAGGAAATTAATATGAAGGAAATAAATACCTGATTTTAAGATTGTTGTATCATGTTTATAATATTTAATATCAGTAAATGAAAAAAATGGGATGTATTAAGTGTCTAATAGTGTAGCCTATAGTAGGTGTTGTTAGTTATTATTATCGGTAGTATTATTATAAATAACATTTAGTTCTAAAAATCCACATTTCTAGAACTGGTAAAAAAATTGTGAAAATGGGGCAATTGTTGAAAAGGGCTGCCATGATTGCTACTCTCTACTAGCAACCATTCAAACAGGTGATATGCCCTTCTAAAATGAAGACCTGGGGCTGGGAAGGTGGCTCAGTGGTAGAGTGCTTGCCTTGCATGCATGAGACCCTGGGTTCAATTCCTCAGCACCACATAAGCACACAAAAAAGCCGGAAGTGGCGCTGTGGCTCAAGTGGTAGAGCGCTAGCCTTGAGCTGAAGAGCTGAGGGATAGCACCCAGGCCCCGAGTTCAGGCCCACGTCCGGACCCAAAAAAACCCAAAAAACAGAAATGAAATAAAATAAAATGAAGACCTGCAAGAAAAAGAACAAAATCTTTAAAATTTGTCTGGCCGACTTAATAAAATTTAGCCAGCAGTTTTCAGAAAAATCTCACAAAATGTATGATTTACCATGAAGTTATTATACTGAGCCTCACAAAATTGTTAAATCAATAAATAAACATTAAAAATTACCTTAGTTGCTATTAGTTTTTTAAATTGTTTTGATCATGTAAAATTTCTTTCTTCATAAACCCTGATCACAGAATGGCTTTTAAAACCTAAGTTGTACTTACTTATTTACAAGCTTGTTTTTCCCCATACAGTTTAGTCATCTTTCCGTTATTCACTCCAAAACTATTTATTGAATGCCTTTGAGTACTAGGCATAGCACATGATATTAAGAAAGTATGTAATTCTGGGCAGAGATCTTCCAAAGTGTTAGTGATGTGTCTGTTTTGAGTTTATGTACTCTACAACTCAGTAGAAGAAAATAACATTTCATTTTTGAGATACATATCATTCTCCATGTGTGTGAGCACCAAGACATTGCTTATTGTCACAAAGCTTGTTATTTAAACCTTTTGAGAAGAGAAAAATGCAGAGTATTATCAAGTACAATGTAAGTAAAAGAGGAAAATGGGCCCATATACCCACTTACAAAGAATCAATAAACAAAGAATCACTAAGCAGAACTACAAGTGAGATCTACAAACCACTTCAGTAAGTATGTTTACTAAGAAATAGGCAAGCAAACTAGACAATCATAATTTTAACTATTACTGCTTCAAGCAGACAAATTTTCTAATTTTTCCTATCTTATGTTTACGGCAATGAGTACTAGTGGCTTATGTGAGCCTGAGACTGAAGGCTCATGGTTCAAGGCAAATCTGAGGAGGAAAAAACAGTCCTCTAGACCCCTTCTTAACAAAAAACTGAATCCAGTGGTGTTTTTCTTTTATCCTCACTATAAGAAAGCCAGATGGACTATGCCCAAGCATGCATTTGAACAGAAAGCCAGCAAAATACCAGCAAAAATCAGGACTGGAGGCATGGCTCAATGATAAGAGCACATAGTTAGGAAGCACAGGGCTCTGAATTCCAACACCATTACTAGAATATTTTTCAAGAATGGATAATTATTTAATAATTTTCCAGAAATCAGTACCAGCAAATCTTTAGTGACTTTTTCGAATGGGAAAGAGAAAACTTTTCATAGCATAGCATATTACAAATAACCACTACTTTTTATTTTTCACAGTGAGTACCAAATTGATGATTGTTTCAAAAAATGATATTCCATAATGAGTGTGAAAAGGGAGTGAGTAAAGTTAAATCTCAGCACATATACATTTTAAAAATTTGCAGTATAATGCTCATTTTAGATCTCAGAAGGTAAAATAACTTTATATGAATGTTACTGTATCAATTCCTTTCATTATTTTATATGTGGAAGGTAGAGCTAAGTCAAACTTTTATCTCAGCTAAACCCATCAACTTGTGTTCCTTTACAACAATATTTTCTGTTACAACCAACATGTATTTTCATAATTTTTTATTATTAATGTTGTTTATATGAAAATACCATACAGAGGGGTTACAATTACAATGAGCAAGGTAATGAGTACATTTCTTACCAAGCATTGTTGCCTCCTCCTTTGTTTCCCCTTCCCATCCCTGCCCTCCCCTGCCCCACTTCCCCCGCCCCCAAGTTGTAAACATTATTTTTCAACATGTCTTGTACATCTCATTGTTGCAATGGGTCCACCTGTATCCCTATTTAAACAATTTGTTTTTTCCCTTCCCCTCCACAAATTATACCAACATCAAATACAGTGAAAACAGGGGTTATACCGTGGGGGAGGGGCATACAAAGCAAGAAAGAAATCATCTTATAAATATGTTAGAAACAATAGCAAGAAAGTAAAACCATTTGAGTCCTTATCTTGGGGTTCATTTTGCCTAACATCAACTTATCTAACTGTTTCTGCTTGTTTCAGACATACTACTTATTGCAAATAAGGGAAACCATGAGGCCTGTTTCTTTGGGCCTGGCTTACTTCACTTAATATATTTGGGAAAGTACAGATACTATTTTAGATAAAAATGGAAACAACCCATTGTTATTCTAAATATGTTCATAACAGATGGCATCAACAATGGACTTGTTTAATAGATTCTATATTTGCCATCATACAATGAGGTAAAGACTAAATAGAATAAGAAGTAGGTATGTACAATAATACTAAATATTTATAATGCACAGCTAGAATATCTCTAATATTATCCTAAAATAAGAAATGGCTAAAACTTATTCAAAATAGAAATGCAGTTTTGAAGAGTCATGTAACACTCAGAATAATTTATTGAACAATTCTATGTCAGACAAGACATATTTATTTCCTGGAATTTATTTTTTTAAACTGCCTGATAATTGCCATGGAAATCCACCCCTGAGTACACATATCATGTACATATGTGAAAATAGAGGTAGGTAACTCAAGGAGATGGGTGGAGTTGGGATAGATGGGAGTAGGAGAAAAATGATGAAAGTAGTGACACTGATCAAGATATATTATACATATGAGTGGACATCTAGAATTGAAACCCTTTGTACAACTATTTAAAGATAATAAAATTTTAAATCCTATTTTAACTGATCAATTATTATGTATACTACAATTAAAATACTTAAATTTAGTTGTGTGCTGGCAGCCAAAGCCCATGATCCTAGCTACTTAGGAGGTTGAAATCTGAAGATCATGGTTTGAAGCCAGCCCAGTCAATAAAGTCCCGAAGACTCTTATCTCTAGCTAAACACAAAAAGTCAGAATTGGAAGTATGGCTCATGTGGTAGAGAGCCAGCCTTGTGCAAAAGAAGCTTAGGGTCAGCAACCAGTCCCTGGGTTCAAGCCCTGGGGCCAGCATACACACACACACACACACACACACACACACACATGCACACACACACACAGAGGGAGTGAATTAAGAAATGAACTAAACAATAGTGATGAAGCTTTAGAGGAATCCTCATATTGTAGCAAATCATATACAGTAGAGGCTTTTATTACACATAACAGCAATAAAATAATACCACTGTTGTGAGTACCTAAGTTTTCAAAATATTTTCTATAACTATGCTTTTGAATTTGTTAGAAAATGTCTGCTGTGACATTTTGGCCAGTTTTACAGCTATCTTAGAATAATATTTGGTATATTACAGGCATCCAAGAAATACTTGGATGACTGCATGAGGGAGTGGGTAATGAATGACTCCCATGTCTGCCACTCACTTCTATGTGTTCTTCAGCAAGTCTATTAATTGAATATCTGAATTAAGTACACTATGATATTCCTTTTGCCCATTTTTTTTGTGCCACCTGCATTATAACCAATCTTTGTGGGTATAAGAAGACGAACACAAACAGCAGAGGGCAGCAGAACACTTTGGATTTTATATTTTTAGAACAAACTATACTTCAAATCCTGAGAAATTTCATCTATTCCAATCTTTAAACAGCTTTTAAAAATCTAGCAGCTTAGATGGTTCTGTCAGTGTCTTTGTTATTGACAGTCACAGGGGCTTATTTTGCAGTCTTCAGATCAGATCTGACTGACAGGTAAATTGAAGGCACCGAAAGAATATTGCAGTTTGAGTCAAAAAGAATAATATATTCACGGATATTCTTATAAATGAAAATTAAAGCTCACATCAAATAATGTCTTGGGCTTTTAGTCTACAGGCCCCTTTTCTACAATTCTCTTTGTCTTTCAGTTTACTTTGGTTGGTATTTCAATTCAAGCTGTGCTTCACAGAAGGATAGTTGTAGAATTAATGGATATACAATTGACCTCATATAATTAACTTGTCTGCTGGTTCAAGCTAAATGACACAATTTTTCAGTATAACCATGAGTATTCCTAAAGAGATAATATGCCTCGTAGAGTGCACATTTTGGATTTCTTTTTCCACTTACATTCCGAAAATTAAAAAAAAAAGAACAAAAAAAAGATGTTGCTTTAAGAACCAAGGGGACCAAGATAGGGGGAAATATTCCAAAGGTTAAAAAAAAAAAGACTGTAAATACACCTGCACAATTCCTAAGGCAATAGCCCTATCAAGAACTATTATGTATTAATGTTTGAGTTAGAAGTTTCCACTGTGTTCTGTGAAATGCTTAATTTGTTGAAAACTGATAAGATAAACCTTCAGCCAATTTACCTTAAAATATAACAAATGCTTCTCAATTTTTATGTAATGTGGCAAACACATATGGCTTCTGCATGAGAAGGGAATACGGTAGAAAGGTTCATGAAACTTTAATAGTGCTTTGAAAGTAATGAATATATTTACCTGCTGCAAAGAGCATAACAGCAACAGGTCTGTAGAAGCGCCTTCGAGATCCCACGCAGATGGAAATCAAACCCACCAGGAATGCAATGAGAATGATGGCAGCACCACCCAGGAGCAAAGCCAGAGTAGCAATCTGCCAGTCTGGAAAGACAAAAAGAAAGGCGTTGCTTTTAAGTGGTAAGTCCTCAAAGAATCAACAAAATTGTGCTCAGCAGCCTTCACCTTGCTATAGTTTAATAGATGTGATTTTACTGCATGCTAAGCATCCTTTGGGGTATGAAATGTTTTGCAGCAAAAATTAATATTAATATCCTTATTCTGAAATGTCTTCAATGCTAAGCTCAGCAGAGTGCTTTTAGACCAAGGCTTTGCTGTATTTTCTTTCCAAGGACGCTCTTAAACATTCATGTTAAATTGAGTGTCCCTTTCATGACCTCTTTTCAATATTATTAAGATTTAAATTGTATTAAAGTACAAAGTTCACAAATCTTAAGTATAGAATATAAAGATGAGGCTTAATTTTATGTTTACGCGCACACACAAACACACACTCACACCCACTTACAGAGGAGCCTCCATCAAGATTAAGATCTCCAATACTCCCATTACTCAGCAAGTTCCATTGTCATTCCTGAGTCACTAACCTTCAACCAAGGCTACTACTGATAGTATCGACCACTATGGATTAGTGTAGTTTAGCCTGTTCTTAAATGCTGTGAATCCTTGTGTGTCTGCATTTAAATATCTGAAATCACCTGTGCCTTTTTGTTTATGGCAGTAGTATATTGCTTTTTCTTCTTGGAACACCTTTCTTCTACTCATAAAAATTCCCAACCAGGCTCCGGTGGCTCACGCCTGTAATCCTAGCTTCTCAGAAGGCTGAGATCTGAGGATCACGGTTCAAAGCCAGCCCGGCAGGAAAGTCCGGGATACTCTTTTTTTTCTTTTATTTTTTTCAATTTTTTTATTATGAAAATACCGTACAGAAGAGTTAGAATTACATGGGCAAAATAATGAGTACATTTCTTATCAAGCATTGTTGCTTCCTCCTTTGTTTCCCCTTCCTATCCTTTCCCATATCTCCCCACCCCCCCATTGCAACAATGAGATGTGCAAGTCGTTATGTCGAAAAACAAACTTTACAGCTTTGGCCGAGATACTCTTATCTCCAAGTAACCACCAGAAAACTGGAAGTGGTGCTGTGGCTCAAGTGGTAGAGCGCTTGCTTTGAGCCGAAGAGCTCAGGGACAGCACGCAGGCCCAGAATTCAAGTCCCACGACCAAAAATAAATAAGTAAATAAATGCTCCCATTTTTTGTCTGTTTTTTTTCCATTAAAACATGTCAATTGGGTGTTCGCTTCGGCAGCACATACACTAAAAAAATTGGAACGATACAGAGAAAATTAGCATGGCCCCTGCGCAAGGATGACACGCAAATTCGTGAAGCTTTCCGTATTTTTAACAAAGGAGGAGGCTGCAATGCTTGTACTCATTATCTTGCCCATGTAATTGTAACCCCTCTGTACAGTATGTTCACAAAAAATAAAAATAAAAAAATGTGAAAAAAAACCCAAACATGTCAATTGGCAATGGGAGGACTTGTTTTTCTCTCCTTTCTTTTATTTCATTCTTATTTCAGGGATGGTTTCTGAAATTTAGTATTCCCAGGGAGCCAGAGTAGGATCTAAATGGCTGCTTCACCCTCTTCTTCATTCATACAAGAAATAGTAAGTCTATTTTGTCCACTTATTATGTGCAAGTCTCTGTACATAGTTATATCAAAGTCTCACACATACTCAGTGAAGAGCAAATCTCACTGAATACAGTTGTCATTTCTTATATAATAAGGATGGTATGGCAGAAAGCTGTCCTGTTTTCCATTCATAAGAAGGGTAGAATAATCTCCTAGTAGAAAGAATTACAGGTTAAGAAGTATCACATAAAATGATAGTAATCATGGCTGTTTAGAAGTCCTAGGCTGTTCTTTCTGCCCCTCAGTTTAATGTATATACACGAAATGTAAGTCAATTTCAATCTATTGTTAAACTATGATGCATTCCACTCAAAGTCCAAAACTCAAGATACTTTGACGCTTTTCTCTGAAATTATCCCTCCAGAAAGCTTCTAAAGTACCTTTTTGCTGCCATAGAATAAAGGATGAGCAGAGGAACTTACGTTATTTTTTTTTAATTTACACTACACTTGTATATCGTTGTTTCTACCATCTTTTTTTAATTTTATTTTATTTTATTTGTGAACATACTGTACAGAGGGGTTACAATTGCATGGGCAGGATAATGCGTACATTTCTTACCAAGCATTGCAGCCTCCT